AAGAAGCTCAAGGCGACGCTCTCGGAGCTCTACCCGACCCACCACTTCCACGGCAACCGTGATCGCGGCGAGATCTCCACGCAGTGGAAGCCGCTGGTTCGCGCCACTCCTCAGCCAGGCCAGGGCTCCGAGCCGACTCTCGAGTTCGTCCACGCGAACCTGGCACAGCTCGGCTTCAGCGCCGACCAGATCCACGCCAAGTTCAAGCTGCTGGCCCCGCCTGCAGAACCCATTCAGTGGCGTGTTAAACCCGATTCTAGCCGCGTGGTGCGGACGTTCTTCCTCTCCTACCCCGATCTCTGTGGGGGCGTGGAATGGGCTAGCCTTATTCCATCATAAATACCGAGTTCGGGCCAGGAATATCAACTGCATGAAGAAACTTCTGGGCAAAGGTTGGATTCTCGGGGTCCAGGAATCTCATGGGACTCTGGACGAGCTCAGGGACCTGCTCTACCACATCGACCTCCCTACTCAGGCTTACTACTCGTTTCTGCCAGCCTCGCCGCATGCCGCGGGAGGAGTGATCACATTCATTCCCGATTTTGATACCACGCATGCTGCAGACGACAGGCCTTCTATCTCGGAACGTAGTTTGACCCAGGGGCGTGCTTTGAATGTTCGAATTTTGTTTCCAAGCGGGGTTCTCATCTCGCACTTCAACATTCATGACCACGGACTGTCGTCTCAGCAGCGCGCCGGGATCCTAGATGCTATCGCCTCCGGCCTCTCCCTGGCCTCCGCGGACCCCCTCAAAATCTTCGTCATCGTTGGCGGGGACTTCAACTTCTCTGAGGACTCCTCTGTGGCGCTCGATTGCTTCGAAAATTTGGATCCTTCTGGTTTCTCGGTTCCTGTGGAGCCATCCGTGAGCCCATCGCAGCGTGGGACTGGGAACGGGGAACGGACGTCTGGGTTCGGACGGTCTGGCTTGGAATCGTATCTTGGGACAGATGACGGAGGTTCAACTTCAGGAACCTACTCATCACTGCGCCGCGCAGGGGACCCTGCGGAAATTGGATAGGATTTATGTGTCTGCGCCAGGGTGGAGCCTTACTCAGTGGTGCACTGGCGGCAGGGTGCACGGCTACCCAGAGGTGCTCAGCCGCGCACGCATCTCTGATCATGCTGCCGATCGTCGAAACCGCCAGGAGAGCAGCCCATCCACCAGGACATCTTTCGGAGACATGCGTACCATAAATTCACCCAGGACGTTCCCGGACAGGTCGACGACTCCGAGCTGTCTCCCCCCCCTCCGCCTCGCATTCCACAAGGAAATCATGACCGAAGCTGCTCGGCACACTCGCGATCGACTCCTCCGATTTCGACATCACGACCCCCCCTCTCGAGATACATCGCCATTCGCACCATCGCTCGAGCTGCATAGGGGCAGAACGTGCTGCTGGCCCAGAAGATTACGGCGTCTCACCCGTTAGGCGCGCTGTTTCTGGTCGTCGATCCGCTGACCGCGCAGGTCTCGACCAACGACCCTGCCAACTTCGCGGCGTTGGCCGCTGAGATCCACGCCGCTATGTTCTCTAGAGCCCAGTCGGAGACAAGGCAGAGGCTCCAGCAGGACAGCCCAGAGACTGTTAGGACCAAGCTCAAGAAGCGCCTCCGCAGCTTCATTGCCCGTTCTCCTCTGTGGGCCCCATGTGGTCGAAAGCTGCCCTTGCAAGGGGTCCGAGACCCCTTTCCTCATCAAGATCAAGAATATTCGGGCCCCCACAATAGAGTTCGTGCAGACCCTGCTGGGATGCCCTCTAGCCTCTCCGACTACTGGGGCCAGGTTTTCTCAGAGAAAGAGGTAGACCGTGCCGCCGCCTTCCAGTGCACCAATCGGTTTAAGCCAGCTGTTGACCTGTCAGGTTTGCCACCTCCTACCGAACGTGACATAACCCGCTTCCTGGAAAATGTTACCCCGAGCGCTCCAGGACCCGATCAACTTCCGTACCTTGCCTTGCGTTTCCACCCCAAAGGATCCCAAGTTTTGTATGAAGCGCTCTCCTGGGCTTTGGATGGCAAGCCTCTTCTCTTCGGCTTCAATACGATGCTGGGAGCGTTCTTGGCCGAGGGCGACGAACCTGGCGACGAGGATACAGTGATCCGAGATGCTTCGGCCACCCGACCACTCGGCTTGAAAAAACACTGATTGTCAGATCATGACGGCGGTATGTGTGAAACCCCTGAGTCGGTCCCTGCCCGACTTCATCGCAAAGGCCCAGCGGGGCTTCGTCCCCGCGAGGAATTTCGGGATGAACATCATCGAATTGGACACGCAAGCTCGGATCACCTCGATGCTGCCAGATGCGAATGACAGGTTACCCGCCCTGGTATCGTTCGACTACGGACAAGCGTTCCCATCGATCGCCCAGTTTTGGATCTTCCTCACCCTCAAATCGCTCAACATCCCCCCCCCGCTTCGCCTCTTCCTGGAAATGATCTACCAGTCCATGCTCTGCTACGGGAGGATCGGGAGCGAATGCCGTTACATGTGCACAATGCTGTCGGGCATCGTTCAAGGGTGCCCAGCCAGCGGATGTCTCTATGCGATTGCGAGCCACCCGTTCGTCGAGCACTTCGATTCGCTGATCGAAAAACGAGGACTTGGTATGAGTAGACTATGCGCCGACGATGTAGGAGATGTAATTCATCAAATTAAAGTTTTGAGGCAGCTATACACAGTCTTTCGGGCGTCAAGGCGGGTGGCTAACTTAGAGCTTAAGCGCAAGAGATGTAAGATAGTTCCGCTAGCTGGCCCCTTTTCCGAGCCCTTGGCCAGGCGGTGCCGCGACTGGCTCCAGGTGCATCTGCCCGACCGGGCGGAGTTCCAGGTGGTCCCTCGGCTTCTGTACCTCGGGATTTTCATGGGCCCCTCGGCGGCCCCGTCTCCGCGGGGCGCCCCTGTGGCGAAATGGGCTCAACGTAGTTCGGCCGTAGCTTACAACGGCGCTCCCTCGACCGTTACTGCGTTTCAATACTCGTCCCGTGCTCTCAGCTGTTTGGGGTGCGTCGCGCAGTTCGCTCCGCTTCCCCATTCAGTGATTGCCAAAGAGCACGCGTTGCTGGCGGCCCTCTTTAAGCTTCCCCACTGCGCCCTCCCGAGGCGTGACTACTTTAATCTCGACTCCTGGGGAGGCCCCCGCATCAGGAGTGCTCTAGCTGTTTCTCTGGCGTCGCTTATTCGAGCGTCTTTAAGCACGTTCCCTGCATGGCGGCAGCAGTATGACAGACTCCAGGAGGCAGGAGTTTATCTTTCGCTCGAAGACATTGGAAAGGGCCGCATGTCTCCCAGGTTTTGGGAGGAGCCTCCGTTCGTTCAACACCTGCAGGCGGCGTCTCAGGATTTTCCAGCCACCAAATACAGGGGTGCAGGATCAGCCGCGCTCCAAGCAGCGCAGCAGGCCATGCTCGAGGGAAAGAAGATTCAGCGTGCAGCTGCCGCTGCTCTGACCTCCTCCCTTTTCCCCTCTGACCTCGCCTCGACCTTCGCCTGCCGCCTCTCCCACCTCCTTCCGCAGCTCGAGCTCGCTGCGATCCAGCGCGTTCGGTGGCCAGATGTGCAAGCAGCGGTCTGTGCCGCGCCGTCGCCTTGGCGCATGGCCATAATCAAGACTCTTGCTGGCGGCTGGACTACAGACTCCAGGTTCCAGCAGAAACAGAAAAGTTGCGTGTTCGGATGTGCCAGTAGTGACTGCCAGGCTCATTATTTAATGTGTCCTGTCGTAATTTCAACGGTAGGGAAATTAACTAGCCACCCGCCCCCCGAAGACATCCTCTCTCGTCTTGGGCTGAGCTCCCCCTCCCCCTCCAACTTCGTGTATCTAGTTGCCTCATTTTACCTGTGCACCTTGGCTCGGAACTATCAGCCTCCCCTCTCAGTCGGCGACGTGACTGCGATACTCCCCCAGCTTCGAGCGTCAGTGTTCCGCTCATGGGACGCCCACGTGTCCAGTTCTCAGGAGGCCCATCGTTTTGGCTCTCCCCCCGCTCCTGTCCGCCCCTCCCCCGAGGCCCCCGCGTCTGCCGCTGCTGTGCCCTCCCCTTTTCCTCCGCCTGACGTTGCCGTTCATGACCTTCTACGCCGCGGGCAAGGCCCGCCCCGCAATTGCAGTAGTAGTAGCAGTGGATGAGGGAGCTGTCCGCCGTGGTACGAGCACAGGAGGAGGAGGAGGAGGAGCAGGAGCAGGAGCAGGAGGTGGAAGAAGAGTAGTAGGAGGAGGAGGAAGAGGAACTCAAGGGGACAAGGAAGGAGGGAGCGGAGGAGGAGGACGAGGAGACGCGGGCGCAGGAAGAGGAGAGGGGGAGGGGGATGAGGGGACCCCCCCCGCTCACTACAAGTGCCGACCAGGGGGCTTCGCCCCCCCTGGAAGGCCCGAAGGGCATGGAGTCTGGGGGCCTTTCCGCTCGTGGTGTGGGGCGCCAGGCCAGGACCAGTTGGGTAGCCCCAAACCGAGGAGACTTGTACTTCTCAACCTACTGAAGGTTGCGTCGTCCGTTTCGGATTTGGATTTTGGTTAACGCGTCGCGTATCCCCGCCAGCTGAGAAAACCTTTTGCCGAAAAGGGGCTATGGAATGACAAGTGAACAACAATGCTACATGATGTTCTGCACTGCGCTGCTGATGCTACCATCCCACTCTACACTACATGCGTCCGAGGGGGGGGGGGGAACTTCTTCACCCCTCCTCGCTGCGATTCGGGCTGTGCCCCGTCTCGCGGCGCTCCGTCAGTCCGGTGGACGGCCCTAGCCATCCAGAAAAGGTAGCGGAGCTGTGGCGATCCACAACCACGCAGTGGCAAGGCGTTCAGTGCTCAATAGCGTTGCGCCTGGCACGGGGCTACCCGCAGCTAGGCGCGTCGTTGGGCTCAGTTGGCCTGGTGCGGAGCTCCTCGCTTCCAGGTTCAGTCTTGCACCCGGCGCGGATCTTGCCGCAACCAGGGGCTGTCTGGAGCTCGGGCTCGGCGCTCGGCGTCTCGCCTCCTGTCTCCTCTGCGGTCTGGTCAGAATAGGCGCAGGCCAGACTGCGCTCGCCCTTCCCGGAATTCCTGGTGTATCCTTTTCATGTGCTCCTCCATCTCCCTCTTCGTAAACGGCTTGGTGAGCAAGTCTGCCCTGTTATCCTTCGTGCCGGTCTTACCAAAATCGAGATGTCTCATAGCGAGTTGTTCTTGCACCCAGAGATATCGCGTCTGGATGTGATTCTGCTTTCCTACTCCTTTCCTCGAAGAAAGCCTCGTGGTGCCGATGAATCGGAGACCACCTTCAACTCGCACGCGACATTCCAGTCTTCTAGGATACCCTTGATGCCAAGTCCGGTACAAACACCTGCGCTTATGGCATAGTACTCGTTCTCGCCGGACGAGAGACCGATCACCTGCAGGATGTTGCACATGTGTTTTACCACGTGCTTGCCTACGAAGGCAACTTGGCCAACGGTTGACCTCCGAGACACCTTGTCTTCAGCGTTGTCGCTGTCCACCATGATCAACATCTTGACAACCTCGTCGTTGGCAGTGCTCCTGTCTCTGGTGAACTTCTGCACGACACGCGGTCGTCCCTTGAGGTATCTGGCCAACCTCTTCAAGCGTACAGCATCGACCTGCCTCGGTGATTGCATATATTTTGCCAAGTTCTTTACTGCGTCTCCTATGTCTGCACGATCTGGAGAAAGATAAGCTGCTCTCATCGTCACACTTCTGTACTGCTTAACGGCATCTCCTGTGAGTAGTGGCGATGTTTCTCTCTCCTCGTGCTCTGCCTCCTCTTTCTTCAGCCCAGGCGTGTCCAAAACTTTCGTCCTCTCTCCTGCGAGTCCCATTTCTGCCACGATCATTTCTGCGTGGCGGGGATCTGCTTCAACCTCGAAGCGTTCGTCCCCTGGAGACCCAGCAACACGCAAAATGCGACTCAAGAAAACCACTTCTTGGTCACTCCTGGCCCCAAGCTGGAGGCTTCCAGTCACTTTCAGATCGCACTTGGACCGAAGCGTCTTTTCTAGCTCGTCCAGTGCCTCCTCGTCTCCTAGGGCGCAGAAGTCGTCTCCATGGACAAGAGAGCGCGAGTCGTTGTTCATGTTGTAGAACAATGCTGGGTTGGTTTTGCCTGGCTTGTGTCCGTCTGCTTCCATGACTGCGGTGTAATCTCGTTGCCATATTGCAGATGCGTCCTGTGTGCCGTACATACTTTTCTTAAGAAGACCACAGTGTACGCCATCTGCTTCGGTGTCAGGCAACTTTATATACACCGCCCTCTCCGCCTTCCCATAGAAAAGGGCCCGGGATATGTCAAATAATCTCATGGCCAGAGGCCGGTTCCTACTGGACCTCCGCCTTTGGACCATCATGCCGCCGAGAATTTTGACTGCTTCTAACGGTGGCATTGCTGAAAAGAGAAGTGTTGCTGGTAGTTTTCGTCCTTCCTCGCCCTTGCCGCGCTTCTCTCGCACGACAATCCGCGACCTGTAGTTCGGTTTCTCGTGGTCGCCCTTGTTGGTGTCTATCCACATCAACTTGATGGGCGGTTGTCCTGTGACGCTCCTGCACTCCTCTATTGTCCTCTTCTCGTAGACGTCCAGCTTGTGCAGCCACTCTACTTCTAGCCGCCGTGCTTCTTGAACCATCTGTGGGTCCAGCCACACTCCGTTCACGTCGTCCCAATAGCGCTCGTCATCGCTCAGGTTTTCCCTGCCTGCTTCGAAGGGCTCTGGGCCGACCGGCACAGGGCCTGCTGTTGCTGCGGCCAGATCGGACATCTCGCCGTCAGCACCCATGCTTTCACGAATGGCTCGAAGAACGCATTGCGTCAGCACCGGGGTGAGCATGTGTGACCTCCGTACGAGGCCACCTTCCAGTCTCACCGTAACCCGTGTCTCCTGGGCGCGGGGCTGCCCGCCGCCTTTCCCGCCAGCACTCTGCTTGCGCAGTTCTGCGGCCAGCTCTGGAAGGTTGGTCATGAAGCTCGTCTGGGTCCGTACGAAGGGCTTGCGGCCGTCTCCTTCCTCGCCCCACCTGCACATGGGGCCATTCACTCGCACCACTCCTTCTCCCCTCATGACCTCCTCTACCTCCTTCTCCTCCCAGCTGCTGGCGCCATGTGGGTGTTCGTGCAAGAAGTATCGTCCCCTCCTTGCCTGCCTCCTGTAGCTTTCACATGCAACCCACAAGTTCCTCCTTGCCTCCTCCTCTTCCTCCTTCTTACGACTTTCCTTCTCGTTCCTCTTCTTTTGAACACGTCGTAGTTGAGGGAATGCTATAAGAGGAGGAGACCCCACGACGATGTAGGGATCTTCGCGCTCCAGGGTCTCGAACCACTCAGAGACATGTTCCTCTCGAGCGAAATCCCATTTCGTACCATCAGGCCGTGGGCACTCCATGTTCATGCACACGCCGGGCCTCAATCCTACGTTGCCGGCAGGTGTGCTACGACCCGCGTGCTCTCCAGGGTACGCGTCTGGCACCTCAACGGCTCCTAGCTCTAGAGCCATCTGGGTGACGTCATCCAGCTCAGACGACGACAAGTCGACGCAGTTTGCACGATAGGCCTCAACGATCCTACTCTCGTACATGCGTCTGAGCTCCTCTTTTCTTGCTGAGAAGCTTCCCATGGCCACATCTGGCCCCTCCGGCGCGGAACTTCCCGCAGCCGGCGCCGGCGCGGGGCTACCCGCAGCCGGCACTGCCGACGAGCTTGCGCTCGCTCCTGCTGATGCTGCTGCCTGAGCCTGCACCGCTGGCGGCACGATCACGTCGTCGTCCGCCGTCTCTAGCCTTGGATCGTCGGGTGGATCTTCGGGCGGTCGTTTCCGCGCCGCGCGATCCAGTGCCGTCGGCATCTGGTCCACCCTCCTTTTGGCTGCTGGCCGCCCTTCTGCCAGCCCTGGGGGTCCCCTCAGGACCCCCGCTTGTCCAGGCGCCCCCGACGCGTCCGCCGCGGAGCCGCCCGCGGGCGGCGCGGGCACCTCAGCTCCCCTGCGTGCCTGCTGCGCTTCTACCCACCTCCGTTGCTGCACATCCGCTTCAATGTGCGCCGTCATTCTCTGCGTGCGCTCGGAAGAATGTGCCACTCCTGCCGGCATCCCGAACGTGATGTTCGCGCACGCCAGACAATTGGGGGTCGGCCCGTAGGCTTCGATGTCCCTCTTGAGGATGTAGAGTTTCCTGGGTCCTGGAACTCCTCCTCCTCCTCCTCCTGCTGCCACCGGGTGTGGCGCAGGCGGTGGTCTCGCAGCTTCCGCGGCTGCCTCTGCTCCCGCCGCAAGTGGCGGAGCCCTCGCCGGCGCGGAGCTGCCCGCAGCCGGCGCCGGCGCGGTGCTACCCGCAGCCGGCGGTACCATCTGCCATGGTACCCCCTTGAGGTCGTCCAGCCCCTCGCTGGTCCACCTTTCGTCCTCCTGCATCCTGTTGAATGCCTTGCCGCGTATCACGCCCGTCTCGGTCATCACGAGAAGGCTTCCTGTACGGGATTGGTGACCCACGTACCTGCTTTCGACCATTTTCGGCGCGAACCCGCTCCTGGGTTCCTGCGCCACTGCTGGTCGAGCATGGATCCTTTCTCCAAACTCGACCGCTGCCTTGGCCCAAGCTCTGCCTGTCCTGCGCTGCTCTGCTGTCCGGCCATCCGACCCGATTCTGTACCTGCTCAAACAGGCTGCTGCGTGGCGCGGAAGCCACGTCCAGAGAGGATGGTCGACGGGAAGGTTCTTCCCGATCCGTTCTTCCAGGGTGGCCTTGAGCACCCGCACCATCCTTTTCACCTCCTTGACAGCGTTTTCTGCCTCACCATTCGCCTGGTGATCGCCGACAGGCGACTGTTGCATGACCATTTCCACGCCTGGCATGGAGTCAGACACTGCTTGCTTCAATGCAACAAGACTGTGTTCACCATCAGACTTGCTCACCATCCTCTTCCATCCTAACTCCTTTACAACTCCTGCAAAAAACTTGATGTTGAAGAGATGGACCCCTTCCCTTGGAATAGCTGTCGCTGCGTATCCCTTGGTTGTTCGGTCCTTGGTGACAAGTATTGGCATCGTCTTCTCCTGCTCAGTGTCCCCCATGAAGCCGTAATCAGAAACTACGACTGGGTCGGCATGCTCTTCCCCTGCCTGCTGCGCTGCCTGTGGCCGGTGCTGTTCGCCGATGCCTCTGCTATTGACGCAGTGGCGACACCACGAACGATAGACAGCATGCCCTGTAGCGTAGTGGTCTGCAAGCTCGAGCTTGGTAGGTGGCCGCGGGGCTGCCCGCTGACGCACCCTAGGCTGTTCTTCTCCTACCTCCTGCTCTTCCTCTGCTCCTGCCGCTGCTGCTTCTGCTCCTGCTGCCGCAGGCGCGGGGCCACCCGCGGCCTGCGCTTCCTCCGGCGCGGGGCTGCCCGCAGCCAGAGCTTCGAGCGGGCTTACAGGTGCTTGCCCTGCCGCCCGAAAAGCGGCGAGCCTTCCTTCGTCTCGGAGACTGCTCCGATCTCCTCCTGGCTGTCTACCTTCAGGTAGAAGTTGTACACGCCCTTCTCCTGGTAAACTGGCAGCATGGTCTTCCCAGACTCAAGCTGCTCGTACCTTTGGATTACATTGGCGATAGCTTTCGCGACAGGACCGTCGCGCGGAATGATGTACCCATCATCCTCGGTCAGCCACGCCACCTGCTTTCCACCTATGAAGACTTGGCTTGCAGAGGCCAGCACCTTGTGCACGTCTGTCTTTCGGCCGGTGATACCGCGACGCTGCCCGTGTTCGTCCGTGCACACGAGCCGGCTCCCTCCGCAGTCAGGGATTCGCTCCCCGCTCGCGGTGACGTAACCTCTGCGGTTCTCGTCTGGGTGGCCGCCGCCAAACTGGCTCCTGGGGAACGCAGTGACTGCTGCGCCGGTGTCGAGGTTGAACTTGGTGTACCCCTCGTCGTCTACACCAGCCACAGGGGCGACCGACAGCGGGGCTGCCCGCACGTCGAACGCACCTAGCTCGAGGGAGGCCTGCTCCGTCTCGGGTTCGTGTCCGTGGTCTCCTGCTTCCTCGAGGGAGGCCGCGCCTCTGCCTCGGGCTCCCTTGGGCCCGCGTCCGCGGCCGCCTCCTTTGGGGTCGCCCTTGGGTTTCCTCGCGTCCCGGGGCTTGCCCCAGCAGTCTGCCTTCTTGTGTCCCCACTTGCCGCAGTTGTCGCAGTACCCCTCGAAGGGCTTCGGCGGGGGTGCGTGTCTTCCCCCGTCTTCCTTTCCTTTTCCTCCTCCTTGGCCCTTTCCTTTTCCTCCTTTGTCTCCTTTCCCTCCTTTGTCTCCTTTTCCTCTGGGTCGTCCCTTCGGGTCTCTGCCGCCTCTTCCTGTCTGTAGGCTGTCGACGTCCATGGGCGCAGGACCGCCAGAACTAGCGCTCTTCATGCGCTCCTGCAGAGTCACGCGGACTTTCTTCCCTGTGCGAGCTTCGTAGAAAGTTACCACTTCAGCCCGCATGCCGCTGTACCTTTTCCCGGAAAGGGCGCAGGCCCAGGGTTCTCTTTTAGTATGTAAACATGTCCCCGGTGCCCAACTTGAAGGAGGCCGGCGGATTCTTTCCCTGATAAATATCGAGGTCGAAGGAGGCCGGCGGATTAAACTTTGAGGATGTCTCAGGCGAAACGCTTGTTTTTGAAATCCCGATCGATAAATCACAGGGTGCGGGACACCTCAGCACGACCACACCCCCAGCATGACCACACCCCAGCACGACCACGCCCAGCACGACCACGCCCCAGCACGACCACACCCCAGCACGACCACACCCCAGCACGACCACACCCCAGCACGACCACACCCCAGCACGACCACACCCCAGCACCAGCACGACCACACCCCAGCACGACCCGATCGATAAATCACAGGGTGCGGACCACCCCAGCACGACCACACCCCAGCACGACCCCACCCCAGCACGACCCCACCCCAGCACGACCACGCCCCAGCACGACCACACCCCAGCACGACCACACCCCAGCACGACCACACCCCAGCACGACCCCACCCCAGCACGACCCCACCCTAGCACGACCACACCCCAGCACGACCACACCCCAGAACGACCACACCCCAGCACGACCCCACCCAAGCACGACCCCACCCCAGCACGACCACACCCCAGCACGACCACACCCCAGCAGGACCCCACCCCAGCACGACCCCACCCCAGCAAGACCACACCCCAGCACGACCACACCCCAGCACGACCTCACCACAGCACGACCACACCCCAGCACGACCACGCCCCAGCACGACCACGCCCCAGCACGACCACGCCCCAGCACGACCACCCCCCAGCACGACCACCCCCCCAGCACGACCACCCCCCAGCACGACCACCCCCCAGCACGACCACACCCCAGCACGACCACTCCCCAGCACGACCACACCGCCTTGGTTGAGTGGTTGCCTGTCGTCGTGGAATGTTTCGTGGGGTGTCTCGTGGAATGTTTCGCGGGGTGTCTCGTGGAATGTTTCGTGAGGTGTCTCGTGGAATGTTTCGTGAGGTGTCTCGTGGGATGTTTCGTGAAGTGTCTCGTGGGATGTTTCGTGAGGTGTTGCCCAGTTGGGTATCGTGAAAACGTGTCCATGCTCCACATGTCTATATCCCTTTCCGGGTTCGTGGGTCCATCATGTTCAAGCGATTTGCGTTCATCTGCAGGTGGTTCTCAACGTCCTCTGGGACCAGTGCCTCCAGTGCGCTGCACAGGTACTCGTCTGCAATCGGGGCCTCTCCGAGCCTCTGTTGCTTCTTGTTGTACCGCGTGACCATTTCCTCCCACAACTGGAGAGCTGTTCCTACCTCCTCCAGCTTCACCCGGTGAGGGGACAAGATGGCACGCAGCAGCGCCCGGCGCCTTCCGCCAGTCAGCTCGTCGAACCTCCTGTGCAGCCGGCGCCATGCCTCCAGACCGTGGCGGTCACAGTTCTGGACGATAGTCCACGACTCTCCTTCTGTCAAGTTCGAAAGTACCGACTTGATCTGCAAGTTGAGTGCCGCAATATCGTCTATGGCATGCTCCGTGCCGGGACCCAGGGCAAGGACTGTTTCAGCTGTCGTGAACTCGTCCTCCTGCTCGAGCGCCCATTCGAGCGCAGCTGCTAGCTGTGGCTCGACTCCGAGCAAGTAGTCCTCTACTTTCTTACACCACTCTGGGAACTTGCTCTCGTCGTTGGTGAAAGTGTACGGTCTGCCGATTCCTTTCACGTCGACCAGAACTGATCGATCTCTCCTCGACAGTGCTCTGGTCTGCTCCGTGAGCGCCTCGATCAGAAGACCGATGGACTCATTGGAAACGACGGGGGCTGCTGCCGCTGCGCCTCTCTGCGCGGCGCCTCCCGCCTGTTGCAGTTGGACGATCTGTTGCTGCTGCGAGGCCACCGTCGCTGTCAGCTGACGGTTCTCCGCCCCAATCGATGCCAACTGCTGGGTCAGTTGCTCCATCTGCTGGGTCAGCAGGCGGAGTTGTTCCTCCGCCATCCCCCTTTCCGGCGAAGGCGGGGCTACCCGCTTCGACGCCGCTCCCGTAGCCTCTTCTTTTACCCTGCTCTTGCTCTCCTTCTGGCCCGAGCCCCTTTCCAACCCGACCGCAGTGGAGCCTGGGCGCGAGACGCGCTTCGAAGCAGCGCGGCGGCCGCGGCCCTTCAGGTCGCAGGGCGGAGAAGTCGACGACGACCTTGCCTTCCTGCCGTCCTCCGACTCCTCCTCCTCAGGACGCTTGTCCTTCCTCTTCCTTCCTCTCTCCTCAGTGTCCCCTCCTGGGCTTCGTGGACGCTTGTCCCGTGCGCGCGCCCGAGGGTCTGGGTTCTCCTTGCAGCGCCGAGCTGGCCGAAGAACGGCCCTCCTCGGCTCCTCCGGCAGCGGCGGCGCGGCCTGCTGCCTCCTCCCGGCCGCGGTGCCGGGCCTCTGTTGGCGCTCCCGGGCGCCCTCTCTCTCCTCTGGCCGCCGGAGCAGCCCGCCAGGGCGGCGCGGTGCTGCCCGCTGCCGCCGGTGCTGGGGCCGCCGGCCCCGCAGGCTGGGTGCTGTCGCCGAGCCGCTGGCGAGCACCCCTGTCGATCCGGCGCTGGATGGCGCCGGCCGTGCGTCGTTCGCCCCTGGTCGTCCCACGCGCTACCATGAGAAAACCTTTTGCCGAAAGGGGCTATGGAATGACAAGTGAACAACAATGCTACATGATACTCTGCACTGCACTGCTGATGCTACCATCCCATTCTACACTACATGCGTCCGAGGGGGGGGAACTTCTTCACCAGCCCGTCCAGGAAGGATACGTTGCGCCTACCTTGAGTGGCCCCTGGGGGGCGCAGTGTTCCCTTCAGGGGGTGTGGCGGCCTTGCGGGCTTCGTATATAACCAAGAGCGCGCTTGGCGGCCTCCCTCCGCTTTCAGCCTCAGGCTTGGACTTGCCACCCTGTTGTCTGCTGGCGTAGGCGCACGCGTACCTGCCTTTGCGCTCACACTGTTTTTCCCGGAATGGGCTTAGGCTCAGGGTTCTCTTTTAGTTCCCTACCTATTCTCTGCCTAGAAGGGTTCTTACTCGTTTGCTAAAAGGGAGGGGCAGTGGAAAGCGCCCCGGGCGGTTCCCACGGTCCCCTGGGAGCCAAGCAAAAGCAACAGCAAAGGTAAAAGCAAACGCGCGGTTCCCCCAGTTGCGCCCCCTGGGTGCCAAGCACAAGCAACAGCAAAGGCAAAAGTGAAGGCAAAAACGAAGGCACACCAAACTCATAATATAGCATAGCATAGCATAGCATAGCATAACAT